GTCTTGAAAACCCATACGCCATCAGACATACGACAGCGGCAGGATTCGAACCTGCGCAGGCAGAGCCTAATGGATTTCAAGTCCATCTCCTTAACCACTCGGACACGCTGTCTGGAAGTTCCGAAAGATCTCATCTCTCCCGATGAGAATCGCCGCCCTGCTCATGTTGCTAGGGGAGTCCCTCACAGCCTCGCGGAGTACCCCTGCAAGGGCGATGATATTTAGCTGACTCGCATTCTTGCGTACGTAGCCCAACGCTTTGACAAGAACGTCGGCGAAGTAATGACATCGTTCGCGCTCTTCATATGAGGTCTTTTCCCAAATGACGGCTGCAACGACAGCGAATCCGCTGAAATGGTAGGGCTTATATAGGATAAAAGTCTAGAGGTTTTTTCATTTTGGAAACAGTCAATTATCACGATAACATGATACACCCAGCCATGCAAAACAACAAATCGTCTCAATCTGTCTTAAAGAGTCTAGAGGTAGATACATTTTTTGGGATATACATCAGTTCTCATCAATGTTCCTCAAATGACATGCGCTTTGGTTAGTTCGCAACCTACTTATTCCTAATGTTCATCAGAATCGCTATAAGGATTCGTAGGCGAGGCTGCTCAGATGTCTTGAAAACCCAAACGCCATCAGACATACGACAGCCGCAGGATTCGAACCTGCGCAGGCATAGCCTAGTAGATTTTAAGTCCACCTCCTTCACCACTCGGACACGCGGTCTGGAAGACGCAGAGGATCTCATCTCTGCCCATGTGAATCGCCACCCTGTTCATGTTGCTAGAGGAGTGACTCACAGCATCGCGGAGTACCTATGCAAGGGCGATGATATTTAGCTGAATCGCATTCTTGCCTGCGTAGCCCAGCGGTTTGACAGGAACGTCGGCGAAGTAATGGTATCGTTCGCACTCCTCGTAAGAGGTCTCTTCCCAAATGACGGCTGCAACGACAGCGAATTCGCTGAAATGATAGGGCTTATATAGGATAAGAGTCTACAGCATTTCCAGGTCAAATTAATATTTTACCGACAAATTTAATTTTTTACCCATTTGGTTAATGTTTTACCCTTTTCGTTAACATTTTGCCCATGGCTTTAAAGAAATACCAACAAAATTAATTTTATACCCGGTTAATTTGAAAGTTAAGGAGTTTAATTTAACCACGGGCGCACGCGATGTCACGCGCGCGTGCAGAGTTAACCTCGAACCACCCTTTGTATGGGAAGAGCGGAAAAACCTGCGGGAAAGCTATGGAAATCCTAGGTAATCTACAGTAGAACAGGTTGAATTTCTTTCCGTGATGCCCAGCAGCGACTCTTCTGCCAGCGAGTTGACCAGCGACTCTTCCCACACGGCTTCCATTCCTGTACAACCCAGGAAGAGGGGACCCAAGAGAGGCGTCAAGCGAGGCAAGTATAATACCAATATAACCGTTGAAACAGCGACACGACTTATCGAGGCCAAGCAAAACGTATGTATGGTATGACGTCGCTATCTAACACAATCTGTCGCTGCATAGACCAGCAGGATTTGATTTACGGGCAGTAGGACCTTCCTGTCCCGTTATTTCTGGAAGTACATTCATTCGGGAAAAATACCCTGAGCCGTAGTACTATCCGTGGAATGGCTAATGAGATGAGTTACAACCGACATGTAGCTTCTGGAACCGTTTCACGAATGTTGAGGGGTGTTGAATTCCATGACGGCATTAAATTAAACTCCTTAACTTTCAAATTAACCGAGTATAAAATCAATTTTGTTGGTATTTCTTTAAAGCCATGGGTAAAATGTTAACGAAAAGGGTAAAACATTAACCAAATGGGTAAAAAATTACCGGATTAATTTGTCGGTAAAATATTAATTTGACTTGGAAATGCTGTAGAGGTAGATACATTTTTTGGGATATAAATCAATTCTCATCAATGTTCCTCAAATGTCATGCGCTTTGGTTGGTTCGCAACCTACTTATTCCTAATGTCTATCAGAATCGCTATAAGGATTCGAAGGCGAGGCTGCTCAGATGTCTCGAAAACCTATACGTCGTCAAACATGCGACAGCGGCAGAATTCGAACCTGTGCAGGCAGAGCCTAATAGATTTCAAGTCCATCTCCTTAACCACTCGGACACGCTGTCTGGAAGTTTCAGAAGATCTCATCTCCCCCGATGAGAATCGCCGCCCTGTTCATGTTGCTAGGGGAGTGCCTCACAGCACCGGCGAAGTAATGGTATCGTTCGCACTCTTCGTAAGAGGTCTCTTCCCAAATGACGGCTGCAACGACAGCGAAGCCGCTGAAATGGTAGGGCTTATATAGGATAAGAGTCTAGAGGTAGATACATTTTTTGGGATATACATCAATTCTCATCCATGTTCCTCAAATGTCATGCGCTTTGGTTGGTTCGCAACCTACTTATTCTTAATGTTTATCAGAATCGCTATGAGTATTCAAAACAAGGAGAATCTCTATCCCCGCCATGAGAACCATTTTTCTTGATAATACGGTTAGAGGAATCGCCGCTCGCGTCACCACAGGGTACCTTTGCAAGTGGGAGAGTCGAGCGGTGGATATGTTTTGGGATACAGCTCAATCCTCACCAACGTCTCTCATTTCTCATGCACATTGGAGAGTTGGTATCGCACTCATTCCTTGATCTCCATCAGAATCGCTATAAGCATTTGATGTCGGGACTGCTCAGATATCTTGGAACCCCATACATTGAAACCACATGACGGCAAAAGAATTCGAGCCTGCGGATGCATAGTGGGTTTTGACTTGAGATTTTCGAGTCCACCTTGATCACTCGGATAGTGTCCGACGGACACGTTGTCTGCGGAAGACTTGCGTTTCCTATGCCGCAAGTTTTTCATTTCCTGAGTCAGGGATCCTGACATGGTTGTTTCAACGCTTGTTTATCAGCTCGCTGTAGCGACACTACCCACCTGCATCCTCACGAACAAATAACGGTTCATTAGCCATGTTCCAATCTCTCTTTAGCCGTCTTGTAGCTCCCTGTTCTCGTTCTCAAATACGGTCGCACTTTGGAACAATATGAATCAGCCCTACGGGCATTTCTGAACGAAATATGGACAGCTCAACACACACGATATGATCGGGGACAGCTGCACATTTTATACCCTCGGCGAAGTACTTCGCCAAGCGTAGATTATACCAGCATGCTCGTATAGCGCCTTGCCCTGGCTGAAGACAACCCAGCAAGCATAGTTTACATGAATGAGCAAGTATAATAACATTTGAAAGACGCAGTTGGTAAAGTACGTATATGATGGCACAGTCGCGCATGCCTGCGATGCGGCATCTGATCCACATTGATACTTCGAGTTGAAAAATGCTTTCATCACGGTGATGGAGACCATTAGACATTAGTATCAGACCCTTAGATTCTTGACTCAAGATTCCGGGGCGTGACATGAGTGATCTGCGACACAGCGGGGCCAGTAATGATTCTAAACAAGATGTTGAGCCTCCAAGGAATGCATCCACTGCCACAACATGTGACGTAGAGATTACCTGTAAACGATGTTCACCTCTGTGCCCGTTATAAGCGAACTACTACCATCATGTTACTGACCCTCTTCCGATACGTAGCTGATGCTTCGTACTGAGTGACCTTGCACAAAAATTTCCACGAACGAATGAATTGATAGCTCAACACTCATGAGTGACACATGATACGATCAATTGCAAGAACAAGAAGACGAATCTTCGAGGAGCGTAGAATGGACATGCACTTGCTCATAGCGCACAAACCATTAACCGCAAAACGTCAAGTGCCTTGCATATCTCAATAGATATATAATTATAATACCAAAAACGAAGATGCGAGATCACCCCACAGCCCGATTGTTTGCACTTAGAGTGCATTCCACTTAAATCTCACCCTGAGCTACTCTCTTAGCGACGGATAATCCGATAACGTACATGCTCT